AGCTTGAATGAACTCGGTCCTAGGCGCAGTTGTGTCCAAGCCATTCTGTTCCTAGAGATGTTGTGAAAACAGACAGCTAAGTAGTGGGGAGAGGACGTGCTGCTGTCTGCAGTGTGACCTCAGCGCTTACCAAACAGTAGGGAATACACAGAGAAGGGCCTTAGGAAAACTTCAAGCACCAGATACATTTATGTGGAAACCATATTTCCCAAGATAACGCTGGACACAACTGCATAATCAAAATGGATTCATTTCTTGGTTCATCCAACTCCTAGGCTTTAGTTTTAAAAAGTTTCTGTCTTGGCTTAAAGCACTCTTCCAATCTCTATTTCCAGTTACTAGGATTTCCTGAAATAGGGAATCCCATTTTTTTCTTTGTGCAATCTCCCAGTCTCTTTGTTTTCCTCTCCCCGAGAAACTTAGAGCTGCTCTCTTCATACTTGACAACTAGATATGGAGCTGGATCAGCCAGAAGGAAGTTTCCTTCACACCTTCCGCTTCTTATGGTACCTGGACTCTTACCTTTACTCTTACTCGCCCTTCCTACATTAGCACAAAGAAAGCTGTTTGGGAGATCTGATGTCTTGTTTTCCAGAAGCTACCCTGAATCACCTTTACGAGAGCTGTCCCACACTGCGAGCACAAGTCTTGCAGTCTGGCCAGATATTTGCCTTCTAAGTCGATAATCAAATCTGTCAAGTTAAGAACACGTAACTAATGGAAAGGAAATCCTTTTATTTTGATCCGAATTCACTTTTTTTTTTTTTTTTTTTTTTTTTTTTTTCCTAGACCAAGACTGAATCGTGGGAAACCAGCAAAACTCTGGTGAAAGATGAAATGACAAATGTTAAGGTCAGGCAGCTTGCCCACTGCCATTGCTACCCTGAAAGCAGATGGAGTGCATCTTCATACACCACAGCCTGAGACACTAGTCGACAGGCCAGCCCATGTGATGAAGTGCATTGCTGTCCTGAATTTTAACGTGACAGGGGGACTCTTAAGCCTCTTGTTTATGCTTTAGTACTTGCGGTCTATGGGAGGACCACAGCACACTCTTCTCTGTCTCCCTTATTTGTTGATCGTCTGTAGGAAGAAGAGAACGTGCAGAGGCCCTCCCCCGTACATTGGGTCTGTTCTCACTCTGTGCAGCTCCGTCATTGAGCAAAGTACCAACCTTGAGGCTTCTGTAAGGACTTGACACAAACTACAGAATACTAAAATGAAGCATTCACAACAAAACCGCATTGTTTTCCCCAGCCAAGCATCAAAACACTTACAGAAGGGCATGGTCCCTCTCTGTGCACCTCAAGGGAGATCCACAAATCCTCACGTGGTTTCATCACATCCAGCACCCTTCTCTGTCCCTCCCAGCTAAACGTGCCCAGAGGCAGCTGTTCCCAAAGTGCTGTGGTGACATAATTCCCTTCTGTTTCTGAAGTCATCACCGCAGGCGCCTCCCAGTGACGGCACAACACTCTCTGTTGCTAACGCGTCTGTCTCAGAAACAGCTAGAGAAGTACCACTATGCCCAAACTGACTTGAATGAGAGTAGTTCAAACATTATTCCCTGCTCCCCTACATCTGTGGAAGGTGTGTGATCAATCTTTTCCTTGAGAAGGGATTACAGACAAAAAGAGCTTGATTCTGAGACGTTGCCCGTACTTGGAGAGCAGTTCACCTTTGATTTCCATGTAAGAAAAAAGAAGGTGAAATCAACAATTCTCTTCCTCCGAGCTGGGAATATGAAATAACCCCAATTCTCCAGGAAGCCTTAATAAGGAAACTATGCACTTCCTTGTTAAACATCTTGTTTTGTCGGAAAACTTTTCCAGTCCTTTGCAACTGCGCTGGTCTGAATCGGGTGGGCAGCCGAGTTCCACCACGGCCGCTCTCTCACTCCCCCTCCTCAAAGGGAAAGGGGGAGAAAATACGATGCAAAGGGCTCAAGGGCTGAGATAAGGACAGGGAGATCACTCAACAACTATCGTGACGGGCAAAGCAGACTCAGCATAGGGAGATAGTAAGAGTTATTGCCTACTACCAACAAACTAGACACGTGAGAAACAAAGGAAAGAAACCCAAAACGTCTTCTCCCCATCTGCCCTCTTCCACCTCCTCCTCCTGAGCAGCGCAGGGAAACAGGGGACTGAGGGCTGCGGTCAGTCCCTGATGCTTTGTCCCCGCCGCTCCTTCTCGCTCCCTCCCTGCCCCTGCTCCCCGCTCCCCGTGGGGTCCCTCCCACGGGATGCCGTCCTTCTCCAGCTGATCCCACACGGGCTGCCCACAGGCAGCAGCTCCTCAAGCACTGCTCCCACACGGCTCCGTCCCACGGGCTCCATCCATCCATCCATCCCCCAGGAGCAAACTGCTCCAGCACGGGTCCCCCACGGCTGGGCGGCAGCTCCCCCCAGACCCCCTGCTCCTGCGGGGGCTCCTCTCCACGGGGGGCTGCAGCTGCGGCCCGGGGCCTGCTCCTGCGGGGGCTCTCCGTGGGCCGCAGCCTCCTCCAGGCCACATCCACCTGCTCCACCGGGGGCTCCTCCACCCACGGGGGGCTGCAGCGTGGAGATCTGCTCCGTGGGGGACCCATGGGCTGCAGGGGGACAGCCTGCTCCACCGGGGGCCTCTCCCTGCACAGCCCGCACGGGAACTGCTGCTGCCTGCCTGCAGCACCTCCTGCCCTCCTGCTGCACTCACCTGGGGGGCTGCAGGGCTGCTTCTCCTCTCTTTCTCCCTGGGAAGCAGCTTTTTTTTGTTATTTTTTTTCTCCTTTCTTAAATACGCTCTCACAGAGGAACAAGCGACATCGTTTCCTGGCTTGGCTCTGGCCAGCAGTGGAGCCGTTATCTAACGGGGGGCAGCTTCTAGATTCTTCTCACGGAAGCCACCCCTGCAGTCCCCCTGCTACCAAAACCTTGCCACGTAAACCCACCAGAGCAACTCTTTCGGTGAAGAAATTTTTCATGATAACCAACTGAAACCTCCCCTGGTACAACTTGAGGTTTTTGTTCTTGTCTTGTCACTTGGGGCTTGGGAGAAGAGAACGATCCCCACTCTCTGGAGCCTCCTTGAAGCTTCCTGTAGAGCACAGGAAGGTCTCCCCTGAGCCTCCTTTTCTCCAGGCTGAACAACCCCAGCTCCCTCAGCCGCTCCTCAGCAGACTTGTTCTCTAAACCCTTCACAAGCTTCAGAGCCCTTCTCCGCACACGCTCCAGCACCTCGAGGTCTTCGCTGAACACAGTGCTCGAGGTGCGGCCTCACCAGAGCCGAGCACAGAGGGACAACCGCTTCCCTAGTCCTGATGGCCACTCTATGTCTGATACAAGCCAGCTGTAGAGATATTTATATGCATATATATTCAGCACTAGTACATGTTCCTTGGAAAACCGGTCAAACTCTCTTCAAACCCCGTACATCGATGGTTTCCTCTAACTGGCACTGACGCTTCAGCTGGATCCTCTAAATCCCATGTTACTGCTTCTGCTTCCTAAGCAGGTGACAGAAACTCCTAACCGGAGAGCAGAGGAGTTGTACTTCTGTATCCAGGAAATATTTGGAAGTTTGGAAGATGCTTCCCTTGCTCAGCTGCCATCCCTATGTTCATCAATCACCCGATCTTTTGCCTTCCAGCAAAAGTCTTGATGCAGTTCTTAAGGCAAGTTCTTTCTGAAAATCCTCAGCCACCTGTGTGCACGCCAAACCTTTCATGGCACTGTGCAATGCGCGGATGGCAGCGATAAATCAGGTTGTGGAAGGAATGGCAACGCCTGGGGAGGGACTTTTCAGGTGGCTTCGCGCTGTTTCGCAGGTCCCTGAATTAGAGCT